TTTACTATCCAAACTCTGAGTCGAGGCTTGGAGTCGGGGGGGCCCTGAGAGAGTGGGCATGCTCGACGCCCATGTAAAGCTGCGGGGGAGGGATTACCCCCTTTTAGTAAACAGACTGCCGCACTGAGAAACAAGAAACTGAGTTGTGACAAACTATATTACCCCATTATAATTATTATTCAATTTTACTAAATATGAAATTAATTTATACTTGATTCTAAACTCTAAGTGAAGAATATTATAATCTAATTTCTTTTCTTCTTTCAAAAATCATTTATTTTCTTAAAGAATATTTATTATAATTAAGAGAAACAAGATTTTTTTCAGAAAGGCTTTATAATAATTATATCAAATGATTATTTTTTTCTGGAAGTTATTACCTCTAAAGTTCAAATCATCTAGTTTTACAGGAATGCTTAAAATCTATGCAAAATATCTGTAAGAATCTTGTATAATTTTGGTATTTAAATCTATTTTCATATTAATAGTTAAACTTAATCTCAAAAAATTATCCCATATACACTCTTATATATAGTTGGGCATCCAATACTTTATTTGATATATTCATACAATTTAGTATAATATTTCTTGAGGCGATACAGGTTTATTCTTATCCTGAAATCCTTGGAATCAGATTTAGATTAATTTAGCACCAAAAAAGAAAATTAAATTATCCGAATGTACATAGATCCTTCACTGTCAAATGGAAATGACATTTTCTTCTTTTTTAGATCATTTTAACTTTAAAGTTTTCTAAAAGATTCATTTTAATTTTGACTTTATTTTTATAGTACTTCATTTAAATTGTCCAATATTCTCAATTAAGATTTCAAAAAAGCTCTAAGAAATAGATACTAATAATTATAGAAAATAATAATGTTAGGGAATACAATAAAAGAGAAAGTTTATTATTATGAAAAAGAATAGAAACAGTCAAATTTCTTAGTGAAGCCAATCATTCAGAAACAGCCCTTTATTGATAAATGAGAAATTTTATTTATAATTAATTTCGTTTTACTGTTTTAGCTTTATATTAAATTATTATTTTTAAAATGAATATTTTATTAGGATATAATTGAAATAATAAAATAGTATTACATTCTTATTTTTATCTATTAAATAATTTCTATAAATAATGAGTAATTTAAAATGAATAAATTATATTAGCCTTCAGAGGGAGAATAAAGGAAACTCTAAAATATCTAATCATGAAGGGAATATCAAGAGTATAAATAGATTAATCGAAAATAAGAAAATTTTCATTAATATTTATAATGAATTTGAATTTATAAATCATGTATTTTAATTTTATGCTCTATCAATTAAATGTCCAAGTCTATAACTAGACTACTCTTTTCCAATTATTTCTTTTTGAGTATCATTGTTGTGGGGAATTAATAATAAATTAATATTATTTTTATTTAACAATTTATTTTATATTTATTATGATAGAATTAGAACGTATTGATATTTTTTTTAATATATAAGAGTGATGAGTCTTAAAAATTTCATAATTAATAAAAATAATTAAAATGAATATCCTCTAATAAAAATAAACCCAAGAAAATTAAGAAACAGTATGCAAAATTCACAATCAGGAACTGATAGCAGTTAAAATAAATTTAATCAAATATATAATCTAAATAACAGATTAAAGAAATAAATAAGAATAATAAATACAGTCTTAATTTTAAAATCTTTAGAATTTATTTAATAATTATGAGAATGATTTTGAGAAAAATAGTTAATAATTGAAGAAGTATTGTAATATTCAATAATTGGAGAATGATTTAGTCAATTACATAGAAAAAAATTAAAATTTAGAATTAGAAAGTAATCTTATTATTAATTTAATAGAAACAAAATAATAAATTAAAAATAAAAGGAAATTGAAGAAAAAATTAGTGACATAAATAAGAGGAAAAGGAAAAAGAATATTTAAATATTAAAAAATAATTTGATCAAGTAAATTAAGATAATATAAATCTGAAGAAATAATTTGAATAAGATAAAATCAATTTATTAAAGGAACAATAAGATTAATGTATTAAATTTCCCAATATTAAATAGAAAATAAATTATAACAATCATTTAATCAAAAAATGTTGTAAAAAGATTCAGAATTAAAAACTGTATTAATAAAACTTGATGATTTTTAGAAAAAGTAAGATAAAAATAAAATGGAATTTGAAAAAGTATGATTTTTTATCATATTATTTTAGAATTTATTTTAAAAAGGATTAACATTTTCAAATATTTATAAAAATAATGATATAGTAATTAGTGATAATGGAAAGATTGTGGATATTGGTACTAATAAAGTTGGTTATTGTATGTGTGAAAAAGTGATTCCTAAAATTGGTCAAATTAGCTTTGAATTTGAAATACTTAGAATTAGTTAATGGTGTGAAGTTGGAATCGGATTTAGAGGAATGGTTACCTAAAATGAATATTAAGGCGATAGTTAAGGTAAAGGGTATACAATATAATTAATCATAATCTAGATCATATTTATTAAATTAATCAAGTGGTACATATTTCCATCATACAAATAATACTCTAGGAAAAGCATTTAAATTTTAAGTTAATGAAATAATAATAATGGAAGTGAGTGTAGAACATAAATATATAAAATGGACTAAATAAAATTCATAAGATATGTTAGTAAATGTTATTATATTTATTTAGATCACATAAATAGATACATCTTAAAATTTTTATCTATTTGTTAATATGAACAATTCTAAAGTGAGAATTAAAGATATATATATCATCATGAATTTTTAATTATCAGTTCTATATATAATCATTTTATGATTAATTAATTTCATTTGAGAAATATTTGAGTATTGTTAAAAATATAGAATTACAATTCTACATTAATTGTCTAAATATTTTGTTTTAGATTCAGATTAAACTACTAAAACAATATTAGCATAGACTTAAACATTAAAAATTCCTCTAAAGTATTATAATTCATATGGCTTGTGAGAAAAATTATAAAATGCTTAAAATAGATTTAAGAAAATAGATGAAATTATTTCTAAATGGGGAGTTAGAGTTATCTAGTTGAACATAAAAAGGATGTGAACATTTATATAAACACAAATTTTAGGTTTTTTCTTTGGAAAGAATAATTAATAATAAAAATTCTCAATTTTAACATTTTTTTTATCTAAACCAAATAAATATTCAAATATTTACTCATCTTAAGTTTAAATATTCAATAATTCAAATTTTATAATTTTATGATATTTTGGTTGATTAATTTTCTTAAAAAGGACTTAAAATAACTGAAGGTTTGAATTGTAAAATGTCGAAATTAATAGGTAAGGTTTTGTTTTAAGTTAAATAAATATCAAAGTAGTATTGTTTAATTTTATATAAATAATCCATTTCAAAAGCCTATTATAATTTTAAAAGGAATATTTCTATTTAATAACTTTTTTCTGAATTGGAAATAAGAAAACTAAATATTTCAGATTTATTTCATTTTTAATCAAGTTTCTTTCATAATTTTATAAGCATAATTAGTTACTCAAGAATGAAATTTCTCATATCATTACTTTCTTGCAATCAGATTTTCTTACAGTAAGTTATCAAGACTGAATCCCTTAAACTGATTCAAATGTAATAGAAGGATTTCCATCAAAAGCTCTTTGAAGGAAGTAATTCATTTTTAATTTAGTAATTGAGATTATAGAAAGATGATTAATTACTGAATGTTTAATTAGCATATGCATTAACATTAAGAAATCTTATTTCAATTAATGTATATGATTAGGAATTAGGAGTGTTTGCAGTAAACTCTCTCTTTTATTTCCTAATTGGGCTTCGAAAACAATATTACTGGTTTTGATTGATGAGATCTAAGAGGCATAATTAAATATTTAAAATGAACAGTAGACACTTATAAAAAAGTTTAAAATTATATTCTACAACTCACCTTAACATGTTTCATTAATTTATACTTGGGGTTAGATTAAAGGATGAACATTCTTACACCATAAATCAGATGATCAAAAATATATCTACAAAATCCTTTCTTATAATAAACACTCATTACTTTAACAAACCTAATTCAGATTTTCTAAAAAGATATTTACATTAATCTAATTTACTACTTTGGTAATAAGGATTGAATGATAAATATATATATATAGATCTCTAATATAATCTATTTCTAATGAATGTAATATCGAGGAATAGTAAATATGTGAATAAAGCTTGATAATAATTTATTTTTGGGCTTTGTGGAACAACTTTTGTATTTTTTTATTATAGGTCATTTTTAAAATAACTTGTTATTTTTTTAATGAAAATTAATAAAAACGGAAGCTAAAATGATTAATTATTAGTACAATTATTAACAATTCATAGAAAGTATTATAAGAAATGAAAAATCATTGCAAATTGCAATTATAATATGATGATATATGATCAATTAATAATTTAGTTATCAAAATTACCATAAATTCTCAAGATACAACTAAAATGACTCACACTTTGATAAATTAAGTCTGAGTTACAAAAAGGACAAAAGGATTGGTGGATAATTTTTTGTAAAATTAATCGAATCAGTCTATTATTTGATTTATTTAGTAATATTATTATTATTAATGACCAATTAATTATCTATAAATTAATATTTAACATAATTAAAAGATTTTATATTCTGAAAACTCTTAGCTTCAGTAAATTCTATTACTCAATAGTTAAGTTATAGATTTGAATATTTTTTTCTGTAACAAGCATCACTGAAATTAATTAAATACTTTCTTCAAGCACATAGAGTGCATTATTATTCTTTTTAAAAATTTATTAATCCACAAAATTAATTATTAAGTTTCTCAAGAGAATTAGAGTAACTTGATTAAAACAATTAAAATATTCTTTAATAAATAATTACTTTCATTATTTAGATTAATATTGGATGTGTTTTGACAACAAGATATTTGTAAAAATAGTGATAATTTTAACTGCATTCTGAATAGTAAGTTTACTTTAATCAATACCTTCTGTAATATCACTTATGATTAATCATAATAAGAAATAAACAATTATTTACAAGACTTGAAGATCTATTTCTGTTATAAAAAGATATACACAATTAAATAATTCTTATTTAACATGCCTTCTAAGTTTTAATCAAATCATAAAGTTTACCATTCTTTATTCATTATTAAAATGAATATTCTTAAATAATGAAGGGTTTGACATATATTTCATAGTTTGACTTAAAGTATAAGTTTTGAGTTAAAACATTTGATATTAATGGTCTAACATTATTATTCCTAAAAATATAAAAAATATAAAATTGGATTGATAATTTTAAGTGATACTTTGACTTTGCTCAGTAATATTAAAATATAATATATTAAATTATAATAAAGAACAAAATAATCACATTCTGGGATTCGAACTCGAGGATCTAGTTCCTTTGTTAATTCTTGCGGTTCCTCAAAAAGATTAAAAAAATAAATCTTTTTTCCCCAACTACATAACCTCTTGACCTTTAAATGATCACCTAAGACGTTATTTTTATGGATTAATACCCTTTTCCCGAGTGCCTTCATTGTGACCAAGTACTACAATTTCTGATCTACCTTCAGTCAAGGCCAGACATTGGGTAACAAGGCCCAGATAAGATATTAAAGAAGGATTAGGGTTTCTTCCAATTTGGACTTCCCGCAATCATTTCTAACCTTGTTCTTTCTTCATACCTCCACTAAGTGGATGGGTGCCAAAAAGCAGTTCTTTAGGTAAACCGTGTACTTGCCAGTCCCAACCAGTCGCTAAGATAACTGTGGATGTCTGGACACACCTCTACTATGGATCTTGAAGATTTAATTTCTCCAGCCAGAAAATTCGATATTATTTTAATTTTTAAGTATAAGATAATCAATGATATTCTATTATTGTTAGAATTAATTAGAATTGTATACATCAATATCTTTTTAATTCTTCTCGTCAACAGTTTGATTAGTAAATTTGTTATAACCATTAGATATTCTTATTTAATAAAAAAGGACTGTCTGTATAACATAAATTAAAAATTATGTTTATTAAGAACAAAGTCTTTTAAAGCTTTGAATATAAATATAACTTATATTAATTTACTAATGATTGAGTTGAATTTAAATAGGCATTTCCTTTAAAAAAACTTCTTATGAAACTAATCACTTTAAGATAAATTTATATAGAGCTTCAGTTGAGAAAATTCATTAATTAAATTAAATCTTCTTTTTAATTGAACATAAATAAATTGAGAGTTTAGACTACTCAAAAAGACAATTTAATATCTCCGATATTATTATTTTATTAATTTTAGTTAATAGTTGAATTATGAATTCTTGAGCCTAATGCAAATTAAATTAAAATAACATAAATTTGAATAATAATCAAGTGTACTATAACGAAAGAATATTAATCTTTCTTTTTTTATTATTAAATTTATTGATATGTACCATTTATGAGAAGGACATCTCTGATAAATTTGTGTTTATGCTTTTCCTCGAAAGGATAAAAACTAACAATCCTGATGAGGGTAGAGAAAGAATGATCAGAAGGATGACAGAATGTTGGATGGATGGATAGATAGAAGAAATACCAGCCAAGAGAATACCGAGAAGAACTGATGAAATAATACAACATCAATCAGGAAGAAGACATGAGATGGGTCAAATACAAGATTTTAGGTGCTCCCCTAATTATTGACCACAAAGTAGATGTGACCAGAAAAGAAAAATGGATCAATTTTTTTAATCTTTTTGATAAAAAAGATTTTTAGAAAATCAGAAACTATCAGAATGCGCAGTCAAATTCAATCAGAATATGAACACACAACAACTAACCTAAAAAATATTAAAAACCTTTAGATGCCGCCTTTTTATATACAAGGCCACTTTCTTCCCCAATAGGAACCCTTTGATCATCAACTAAAATACAGATGACCTTAATTTAACTTACCACATAATAAGAGATGAAGAAGGTGACCTACACTATGTATGGCTTAACAAAACAAAACTACTCCTATTAGATAAATTATTCCTGGTTAATAATCACAAAGCAAGTCTGATAACTTCCAATTGGAATGATTACATAATCAATGTTAAAGGTGGAAAAGTATAAGTAGATGAATAATTTAACAGTGAGGATATAAATGTCAAGAAAATAGACTAACAAATCCCCCACCTACCCTTACATCAACAGAAGATCATAAACGACCCTATTATCATAGAAGATGACACCCCACAATAGAGACCAATGAAAAAGACCAAACGGGATCCTGTGACTTAGACCTAAAATGATGATGAGGCAGAACTTCTCCGTGCAATTCATGAATAGGATTTATCAAAAGGTTTTACTCTTGACGAGTGGGTTCTTGAAGCCAAAACTCAAAAACTTAGTAGAATAGAGGATTTCATCAGAGTCTAGAAGAGCTGTAGCAATTCCCTCAACTTCGATACGAATTATGATCTATTAGAACATTCAAGAGACTTCCAAAGAAGCTTTGAATATATTGGGGACATTAATCTGTTAAATTAATTTAGTCAATCGCTAAATCCTACTCACTTTCAAACCTTAAAGATACATTTGAATTATTAGAAGCAATTTTTGCTTACTATGAACAAATCTTAGGGTTAGGATCTAAAAGATAGGATGAGCCTATATAAAGTAGCATTAGGAAGCAAATGATGGATAAGAATATTAAGAAATGGTTAGATGATGATAAATAATCTAAGGGATCTAGAAGAGAATGGTTCAAATCTGAAGAGGATGTTGATGGATAAGTGTTAAAAATTGATTAGGCTTGTTAAAGAAGTGGTTCTTCAGATAAAATTGAATAATCTTTTTTATCTGATAGTGGCATCGATACCTATAGAAGAATGATCAATGGGACTATCGTACTAGTAAATAGAAGATATTCTCTGGTGTTATTCTATTGGCCATGATGTTGAGTTAAACTTTTTCTATAAAAAATTTTGCAAATTCATGTTTTCACTTGAACAAACAAAAGAAGAATGTAATCTGAACTGGAGCAAAGGTAGATCTATCTGCTCTTTTCTGTCAAACGAAATTTCATTGGATAAATACCCTAGGCCATTATTGTAACAACCAAGCGAGTGCTGATCTCAGAAGTTTATTTGGACAGCCAGCAGTCAACGATAAATGAACATATAAGATAAATATATTTTGAAAAATTTCCCCTTATAAAATCTTAAAATCAAGGTATATATTATCTATGGCTTATCATATTTTTAAATTATTATGATTTCATTAGAGATTCATAATGAATTGTGCTTGAAGAAAAAAAGTTTAAGTAGATTAAAAGAGAAAAACCTCAATTTAATTACATTATGCAATTCTAATCTAGAATAAACTTCTCTGCTTTAATTATGGACTGTTCTAGATCTAATATGAGAAAATATGGAACAAAAAAATCAAATAAGAATAGTTGCTTAATACATTTGAGTTATCAAAAAACTAAATATCTATTAGTTTCTTAAGTTAAAGTTTTGATGAGATTATTTGTTAAATTAGAAGAAAAAAAAGAAATTTTTGGAAATCAATCAATAAAATACAAAAAATGTTTCACAATATTATATCACATAAAAAATAGATTATAGAAAGCAAAATAGAGAATAATGTATATTGTTATAGTATAATGCAAAAAAAATGATTAATTAAATCAACAGTGAAATTAGATTCAATCAAAAAAAATATTATTAATTCAGAAATTTTATTAATATAAGAACGTAAGACCTTAATGATAGAGGAATGTCTCAAATAAAAAGACAATTAGAGTTCTTAATAAAATTGAACATAAAATACGGAGAAGCAATAAATATAGAATTTTAAAGTAAATAAATATATATATAACAAGGGAAGAGTTTAAAGAATTTAATTAGTAAGTCTACATAAAATCATATGATATGTGATGAAAAGGAGATTATATTCTTGACACCAAAAATCTGAGAATGAAATTAAGAGGGTAATTAAAGACATTAAAAGGAAAGATATGAAAAATTTCAATCTTATAAATTCCATTTAACATACAGCTTAGATTAAGAGAAAAAAAAAATAATCAATTAAGATTTAAAGGAATTATTATTGATAACCATTTATATTAAGTTGAAACTTAGAAAAAGTAATAACTATCCAGAGAAACTATTGAAAAGGAAATAATAAAGATCTTTTGAAAGTAAGTTTATCTATTTTCAGATGAATTTTGTATAAAGAGAAATATTAGATAAGAAGAAATTATGGAAAAGATTAACATAAGAGAGACTAATCATTAATACACAATTAGATTAGTTTAATTGATAATATATTATGATAGCTGTTCAAAAATAAATTTGTTCTAGTCATGGTTACTCTATATAAGATAGCGATAGAATAGACTTCATAAATAAATTCTGACCAATCTTAGTCTAGAATTGACTGATTATATAAAAATAAACCTATTTGAAAAATGTTAAACCTATATTAATTTGGAGAAGTATTAGAAACTTAAATATTAGAAAATACTTGATGGCAATCTGACATATATTTTTTATTCAATTATCAACCTTTTTATTATTTCTTAATAATAATCACTTAAGCATTAATTATTTAATTAAAAATAGAAATCATTCAAAAAAACAAAAATAGGTTTATTTATAAAAATTTGATTTAACTTCATAATAGTAAAGTATATACAATACTGAATATGATTAGATGAAATTAATCAAAATATTAAGATGTTGAATCTGAGCAATGTTTTTTTCAATCTCCCAATCATTCTTTTCAAGATTTATTATCAAAATTCAGAGTTCGTTATGAAACGCTACCACACTTAAATAAATTTTGATCTTTCATTTAAATATAAATATCGATAATTTGTTTCGATTGAACATTTATTTTCACTTTAATCCTGTAATTTTAATATATGCTTTTTTTGTTATGAATTCAGGACAACTTATTTTGTTTTGTGATTATTTAATCATAATTTTGCCGATCTGCTAAGCAGTTTGCCTTTTAAATATAATTTTATCTTAAAACTTATAAATTCATTTTTGAAATTTAATTTAAGATATTGTTTTATTTCTCCTATCTACCAATCTAATTTCTTTAATTTGATCTAATATTTAATAACCCATATACAAAGATGAATGTTTTATCAAATTTTAGAGTTTTATATATTAAATATCTTATAAATTTTCACAGAAATGATATTTTTTTTTGTTGTCAATCATTCCTGTCTAGTTTCTTTTTAAAAATATACTATGAAATTTTAAAAGTTGTCAAAATAGTTTTGATTTTGAGAAAAAGTATCATTTGAGAATTAATGAATAAATTTCAGATAAAGATTTATAATTAATTAAAGAGAGGTATAAGATTGAATTACTATTAGTACTGAAAAAATGAAAAATTTCTTGAAAATTAAATTATCAAACAATTTATTATTTTCCAATATATTGCTTATGATTAAATTAAATGGTATATTCTAGTAGATTGTTTATGTAAAAAAAAAAAAGATAAATGAAAGAGAGAAACTGTTTTTTCTACTTCGTTTTATATTAAATATATATTTTAATTGATTTCAGGCAAAATTACTTAATAAAATATTTATGATTGATATATATTGAATATAATAATTTTCATTGTTCTATACATTTTCTAATTTATATTTCTTTTGATGATCTATCCCAAGTAATCAAATAGTCTCCATTGTCACTCATTTACCCATATATTAATTTTTTACCAAATTGAATAGATTACTCAACTTTAAATTGATTATTTTGTGTTTTTCTTATTAAATTGATATAATAATTATGTTTAACCACAAGTAATTATTTCTATTTAATATATTATTATGGGAATAAAGAATTACCATCATTACCTTAATTGACAATAATATCTTTAGTTTTAGTGAACTATTTATTACCATTATCCATCTCATAAACATACATTAAATTGCCATTAAAAGGTTGAAATGTAAATAGATTATCATCAATAAAACATATTCTATATCCATGACAATCAACTTTGATAGTTTATAATACAATCCATTTTTTCTAATATTCTGAATATTCTATTATTAATATTTATTTATCATATCCACATGAAATAACTTAATTTTATTATTCATTTAAACTTAATTAATAAACCATATCAGTATGATCATTGATTGTTTATTAACAGATCCATTCTTGTTGTTTAATCCAAAACTTTATAGATTTATCATCACTACTTGATATAAAAAGATCTTCATTATTATTCATAATTAAACATTCAATCCAATTTTAATGTCCATTAATTTTTTATGAACAATTCCACTAATTATTATTATTATTAGATGACCAAATCATAATAAATCCATATTTATCTCCAGATATAAACTAATTTGATTTTTTCATGAAATTTAATGTAGTTACATCTTCTTAATGTTCATTTAAATTTTGAATTAATTTCATCATTCCTTTATTGAATTCATATACATTTATTTAATTATTACATCCAGCTATTACAATTGAACAATCTTTATTAAAAGCTATAGCCTAACACCATTAATGTTATTTAATAGAATAATCTTAAATTAATTAATAATTAAATGATTTTAAATTTGTTTAAGATTAAGATATAATTTATGATTGTTTTTTTTATTTTAATTATAATTATTATGAATTTATTATTATTTTAGAATTTATTAATGGTATTAATTCTTAAACTATATTTGATTAAAACTCTTATTAATCAATTAAATTGAATTATTTTATATTTGGTAATTATAATTCTTATTTTGATTCCTTAATCTTAATAATTGGATAATCAATATTAAATATTTAATCTATCAAATTGTTAATTTTATCAAAAGAACACTAAAATTATTAAAATAATATAATAAATACATCTAAATGTTTCTCTATTTCTTTTATATTACATTCTACTTAATTTTATATCACTTTTCTTATTGACATTTTTTCTAATTCTATTAATATTATTAAATTAATATTTCTATTCTTTATTTCAATTTAATATGCATTTTAATTTGTCAGAGAAAAAAATGTGAATAAATATGTAATTGAATAAGACTTATAAAAAGAAGGCTAAGTTTATTAATTCTATCTAATTAAGTTATAATTCCTTCAACTTTAAATTACTTTACACTTTTTTTTCTAAAAAATCAATAGATTTTTAACATCAATAAATACAATTAACCAAAGACTTAATGTAAAATTAATAAATGACAAAATCATAAAATTGATTATTCTTATATAAACAAAAATTTATTTACTTTAAATCCTAAAATTATTTAAATAGAAAATTAATACTCTTGATGAATTCATTCCTCTTCTGAATTATATATTATAACTCATATAAAAGCTCCATTTATTATAAATACTAAAAGTATTTTATATTTTTATTCTTTATAGATATATAGGTCATAAATATTCTAACTATTTTTTAATATAGAAGTCATATTTAATAACAGCATTTATTTTCTATTAGTGTGATATAATTTTTTCAATTCTTTTCTACTTAATCATCTTCGAGATTTTCATTAATATTTCAAATAAATTGTAATGTTTTTTAATTGAGAAAGTAGACCTTAAGCTATTTAAATGAACATATATTTTTATATATTATTGAAAATTTGTTTTTTAAAAATATGTATATCTTCTATTAACCTAACGAGCTTAAATCTTTTTTTAATTAATTAAAGTGTCTAAAGTATTGATTGGTTCATTCTAATTTTATTATATTTTTCAAGTAATCTATTATAAATTCCTTATTCATTAAGTTATGCTTGTCCTGGTTGATTGATCAATTTTAAGAATTAAAATTAGCTATTAAATTTAACCATACATAAAAGATAGTAATTTCATTTTATTTATATAAAATTAGAAAATGTAAAAATATAAAAAATAAAAGTTAGATTTAATATCTATATAATATCGCACCAAATTATCAAAAACAATAATTATAAAGTATTGGAAATTCTTAAATTTACTTTGTTATTAGATTATTTTAATTATATTATACTGTTCCTATTTTTATTACTAATAGTTATTAGATTAAAGATTATTTAATATTCATATCTAAAACAAGATAGATGTATAATAAATAGATCAAACATATCAACTTACTCAGAATATTTTTATAGATTAATGAGTTTAATCAATGTAATTAATTATTTAGATTACCACCTCTATGCACTACTCTATCGAATACTGTATTGTGTTGATGTTTTTTAAATTTATTGGATACTCTATAAATTCTATTGTGAATTACAATTATTAAAACCATATCTTATTTGAAATGCATTAGCACAAAATTCCCATATAATTTACAAACCTACTTTTACTTTTTTGATTTTATTAATTTATTTTCATCTAAAAGATTGTTGATTTTTCAGGATTTATTGATTAAATACTGAATTCTAACAATTTAAACAAGTTACCTACAAAAGTCACAAATGATCATATAAAATAAATATATATTATTGATACTGCAACAATTAACATAGTTTAGATTTCTCTTTTGGTATTTATGTAATTGAAAATTGTTATAGACAAGTTCACCCAAATACATTTTAATACAAGATATCATTAAAAATCAATCAAAAGGCTAAACCCTGAATTCTATATTCAATCAAATTAAAATTTCATTATGAATCTGAAACAGGAAACATTTGGTTTGTCAAACTTGGAATATTGATAATGATATCTCCATTTTAAATAATGAATTAATCAAGTATAGACTATTTAACAATTAAATACTTTATTAACATGTTATAATTTCAGAATTCTTTTATAAAGAATATTACATCTTCATATGACGACCAGCATTATACTTCTAATAGTATGAATCAGCCATTTTGAATTTTCAAATTTTACATAATAAGTTTGGTAATCTTTTGGATGGAATTGTATTTTTTTTATGACATCAATATTATGTATTCAAATAGGGATATATGTCAAATGATAATTGACAAGTAAGGAGAATAGCTTAATCAATACTTAAAGTATTCTAGAATAATAATAATTAAGTTCCTACTTCATTCAAGGTGTTAGAATGATTTATTATTATTAAAAGTACTTCTCAACCAATTAAATTATTAGTTAAAAATTGTACTGAATGATAATTTTTAATATTAAATATCTTTTTAAATAAGTTATAATATAATTCTATCTTATTTTACTAAGATTAATGATATTATTTCAATTTTTATAAACTATATACTAAATAATAATTTACATTCTATATTAAACTGTTATTTAATATAAGAGTTATAATAGAAAAGACTGGATTATTATAGATTAGGCATAGTAATAGTATGAACAAGATAATTGATTCTTATTTCTTTTAGTTATAAAATAACTGAGGGATAAAAAATTACAAAAAGATTTAATTATTTAATATATAATAATTATTTTATAATATTTTTAAACAATTTTTAAATAATTTAGAGAATTGTATATAAATTGTTTATAAATCCCTAGTGAAATAAAAATCTTTTGTTATAATTAAGAAATAAAAATACTAAATCAAATCAATAAAATCATCGTTAGAGTTTATTAGATTATTTATTGATGTTACATGAATTATTTTTACAATTTTATAAATAGAATTAAGTGATTAAACAAAAGTTATAATTATATCAGTAATTAGCATTAAATGAATGAATTTTCATGTTTAGTGGAAAACTTATTGCTTAAATATTAAAAAATTTCGAGTTAATATCTTTTGGAAAACTATCAGGAAGTTGAAAGAATCCTCTAATTTGAGAGATATGAGAGCAGATAGCAATTTCATGACATTAAATTTGAATATTTCTCAGCATTACGATAGAAAATAAGAATAATTTAAACAGCTGTCATACTTCAGAAAATTCATAATTTTCTTGCCCACTTAACTTCATGTTACAAAATAAATTAAATTAGATCACTTTTTGAACCAAAAAAATAAAAGGGAAATTATAAACATGTATGTTTTATGTATATAGATAAATATTATTAAGTATATTTCACCTAATTATTTGTATATATTTATCAGTAATGAATGGATTCAGATTATATATTGATTAGAATTTATTTAAATGTAAATATCTTATTTTCATAATTAAATTATGAAATTTAACAAAGTATCTTAAAATAATAACAACCCTTAGAATAAATAGATAGTAAAATAGAATAATATTAAACCAGCTCAGCAAATTGAAAATTCAAAAAACAAAGAATTGTTTGCATAATCAACTGAAACTTTAATAACAAAATAAAATCAGAAAGTACCATTATTAAATCATTGTTATCATTAAAAAAAAGATAAAAATGATATCTCTTACAATCAAAAAGGTAATTAACATATCAAAATATTAGGATAAACATAAATTAAGTAATAATTTTAGAAATTTGGCAATAAACATAATCCGCATTCAGAGCTGAAAGTATATGATAAAAAAGCCATTTAGATCAATCTTAATAATAATTAAAGCTATATGAATAAAGGTAATCAAAATATGAAAATTGAAAATAGGTTTGGAATTATTCAACTAGAATCTATTTGAAGAATCACTAGTATTTTTCAATTAGGCAATAATACAAAATTCAAATGATTATTTAGCCTATTCTAAAATGGGTATATAGTTAAATATTTATATCTTTAAGGTAATGCATTAATTGAATTAAATCGACATTAAGAAGCCATAGAATTTTTAGATAAGGCAATTAAATTAAATCCCAAAGATGATATCAATTATATAAATAAAGGTAAATATTGTATTAATCAAATCAGGTGGAGCATTATATGAATTAAATCTGTATTACGAAGCGATAGAATGTTATAATGAAGCAATTAAAATAAATCCAAATGATGAAAGTGTCTACTCTAATACAGGTATTCAAATTTGAAATAATCATGATAGGTTTTATTTTAATTTAATTGAAAAAATATAAAAAAGCAATAGATTACTATGATAAGGCAATCGAACTATATTCTAAAAATGCTAGTAATTTTGCCAATAAAGGTAATTCTATTATATAATATATCATTATAGGTTTTACTTTAATTGAATTAAATCGATTTTAGGAAGCAATAGAATGCTATGATAAAGCAATAAAATTAAATCCAAATGATGATTGTTTTTACGAAAGAAAAGGTAATTATATTTATTAAATTATATGTAATAGGCCATGCATTATTTCGTTTAAAATAATATTCAAATGCAATTTAGCAATATGATTTAGCAATAAAGGTAAACCCAAGAGATTATCATTTGTATTTAAATAAAGGTAATTATTTATGAAATTAATACAAATAAACTTAGGATTGGCATTATATGAGTTGAATTAAAAGGAAGAAGCTATATAATACTATAATAAAGCCATTGAATTAAATCCAAGTGATTATAAATTATATCTCAGAAAAGGTATCTTTAATATATTAAATACCCATATTTTAGGGAATTTATTAAATTAATTATAACGATATGATGAAACAATAATTTGCTTTTAAGAAGCTTTAAAAATTAATCCGGATTTTTTTTTCAGTTATGATGATTTGGGTAAATTAATTTTTAATAAAATTTAGGAGATTATTTACTTTAGGTAGGAAGAAAAGCATAAGCTAGATATTGTTATTTAAAAGCTTAATGTGATCCATTAAAAATTTTAAAAAATATTTGAAATTTTATTCCTTATATCGAAATTTATTTTTGTATTTACCCTATTCAATATTATTTTTATGATTCTTCATTCTTTATTTATAAGTTTAAATTATGATTCCTATAAATTTTAAATATTGGAATGAGTAAATTTAAATTTAAAAAATAAAATTCCTGAAATTAATTCATATATTATCATCAAATAATCATTTTTCATTTTTTTTTTTAAATCTTGTCAAAAACTATTAAATGAATGCCCAGCTTTCATAATTATATAAGGGTTTTAGGGAACAAATATATTATCTTGGTTGATTCTGAATGTGCCAAATAATTAATTTAATTGAATTTTATTATTTAGATGCTTATAAATACCTGAGTTTCATAGAAAATATGCTCAGACTTATAATCAAAAAATAATATAAAGATTCAATTAATCTTTTTATTTTATGATTAGAAAATCCTTAAACAACTGTTTTGAGATTGGAAGAAGAAAATGGATTTTATCTACAGTTAATTGAGGATTTATCTCATTCTGATCTTAAAGAAAAGAGTTGATCTATTATGCAATAGAATTTTGTTAAAAACTGAAAATAATTAAAAAATTCACTTGATATAAAATGATTAATTCAATCTATCAAGTAATATAATACTTAAACACTTTCAACAGCAAAAAAGAATTATTCATTAAAATAATCAAGAAAAAGATATATTTAAATAAAAAATCTAGATTAGATTTTCTAAAGTGTATTTTCTTGAGATTATAGGAAAATGAAAAAATATATAATATTCTTATTCATCTTATTTGAATATAATTTGCAAATTAATTTATTTTGAGATTATCATCATAAAATATTATAATCACTTATTAATTGCTTGATTTAGTATAAAACATTCTTATATCAATCTAAAGTAGAATTAACTCTTATCCATTGTTCAAAATATATAATTTCTTTTGAACTTAATTTAAGAGAATAGCTTTAGTAAAAAAGTATGTTTGTTAAATTTAATATTAATCAATTATCTTATCTAACACTTTAGAATATATAGATATTTCTTGATCTAAATTTCCTTTATAGACAATAATAGAAATAGAATAATTTTAATAAAAATGAATTATTGCTTCTCACACCCATAATGTCCAATTACAGGAATATGTATTGCACCACATAAATGTTAAAGGAAGCTTTGTTTTAAATGCTTGTATAATCATGAAATCACAATTTAATAATGTCTTCCATTTGATGTTTTTTTAGATCGACTAGATAAACTAATTGAAAATTATAAACTAAATGATAACTCAAAATATGAATAGATTAAAATTGCTTTTAAATCTCTTATATCTTCATCAGAATAGATGATTAAAAAAGTGTTTGTTCAATTAATTGATTCTATAAATTACATATTTGGTAAGATTGAAGATCAAGATAAATCGTATGTCAATCTCATTACTAATAATTAACATCCAGCAGAATCGTAGTGTCCCGATTTAGATAATTTGGTGCAATTATTGGAAAGCAATATTTTGGAAGATTGGAATACCTAAAAGAATACTTATTTACAATAATTAGTTTAAAGTAAAGAGAGGCTAACCGAATAGATGAATATTTTTAGTAATAAGTGTTAAGAAGAAATGAGGGAGATATTTTCAATAATAAAGTAAGAATTTATTGAATATTAAGCATAAAATCAGGAGAAAAAAAAAAGTAATAAGTAGAATAGAAAGAGGAAAAATAAGAAGTCTTAGGCTTTGTATGGGATAGAGTTTGGTCTCAAATGATTTCAAACAAATTTTAAACAGTAATTACTTAGGATAACAAATTAAAATACATAAAAGATGGATTAGCCATAAGAATGTAATTGTTCACATATTAATAATCTTAATAGAGATCCTATCAAAGATATATCAACAAAACCTGAAATATTAACGAATTTAGAATAAATATAACATTTGTAATGGTTAGGAGAATATAATAAAAATAATAAAAAAGTTGGAAAATGGATTTTAAAATGGAAGGGAAATATTTTAAAAGATGTCGGTGGATAGTACTCTTAAACTGGACAAAAATAAGGATTTTGGATAGAGTTGATTAAGAATTATTGGAGGTAAATAACGAATACTTATTATATACCAGTAAAGCGGAAGCCTATGAAGCGGGATAATATGAAAATAATTTACGAATAGGAGCTTGGAATTATATCTATGAGGAAAAAGACTTGTATTAAAGATTTTTATTTATGAATAGTGGTGGAGGAGAATACAACAAGTAGGGCGAAAAGAATGGAAAATGGATAGAATTAAGTGTTGGATTTTGGGAATACTCACAAGTTTCCTATAATGGAGAGTATAAAAATGGAAAAAAAATTGGTAGATGGGAGATCATGTTTTAAGGGAATGAATTATTATCAAAATAAAAATAGATGTAAAAACAACAAATTATATTTAAGTGGTGGTGGATCATATGATGATGAAGGTAATGGAATTAAGATTGGAAAATGGATTGAATTAAGTGATGGATTTAGGGAAAATTCATAAGTAACTTTTAGTGGAGAATATAGAAAAAATTAAAAGGTTGGAGTTTGGAATATTTATTGGAATTGGTGTGGAAAGAATTAAGAGATGTAAAATTATACTTAATTAAAATAAAATTTTAGTGGTGGTGGATCATATGATTAAGGGGATAATGGCATAAAAATTGGTCCTTGGGTTGAGGTAAGCAATGGATTTGCAAGTTATTGGTAAATAACTTAAAATGGTTCATATACAAATGGTAAAAAAGTTGGTATGTGGGTAGAAAAAGATATTAAAAAGAATGAGATATGTAAAGAAATACATTATAAGTATTGAAAAAAATTAATTGAATTTAAATTATTTCTTGATATTTCTATATCAGTTATTTATTAAAGTTGTTACAATTTCATTTCTAATAATAAAAAAAAGGGATATTTTCAAATAGAATAAAAGATGTAACTAAACTAAACTTAATTTATTCATTTGAATCAAAATAAAATTTTAGTTGAATTTATTATTATTTTTTATTAATTATTTAAATTTAGATATTCGAAAAGTCATCTAATTATGACAATTTTAGTTAAAATTATTTGTTATATAAGATGATTGTTATTCCTTTGAATGTTGTATTTCATTTGAGATTAAGATCTTATTAATTCTCAATTCTTATGTAAAACAATAATAAAAGCAACTACAGAAGTATTTATACTCATAGTATTGGATGATTTGGATTAGGTTAATTCTTGTTACAAGCAAATAGATTTGTTTACATTTTAAAAAGGAATGAAATACTTATATAGAATAACTTTTTCATGTTAAAGATTGATGAGAGGGACTACGGCTATCCTTAAATATTTACTAGAGTGAGTTTGAATAAATTTGATGGGCCATATCTTTATTTGATGAATATATTAATTACAAGTATTTTATTATTCAATTATGTAAGTTTTCAATTTACTTCAGTTTGGATATCCAACTAAAGAGCAAGGATTAAACCAGAAATTTCAGAGATTAAATTAATCTTTAGAGATATCTAAACAATCTTCTCAAATAAAATAAAGTTAGATTACCTGAATATCTACAAAAAATATATAATTACAAATTGAAGAATAGTATCAATAAAATAATCACCTTATAGGTAAACTTAGATATATTTACCAATTCGAAAAATTTTAGAATTCATAATATTTATTTATTATAAAATATAATATGAACTAATTGATTTTTTCACTTTAAGAAAACTACTAGAATATTAATAGATGAAATATTATTACTTTAATACAAAAATACCGAATTTTTTAAATGTCTATAAATTAATCAGATAAGTTTGGATTCTGTAATTTTTCATCAATGGAATAGGAACTGTGTCTTGCCTTTATGCACTATTTTATATATAAGGATTATTGTTATTTTCTTATCCACTTTTTAAGGGTCTTGATTTTTCTTCATATCTTTTTAATGCTCAGTTCAGTTAGCTAACCTGGTGGATATCCCCTGTGTTCTCACTTTACTTGGTGTAATAGTTACTTCTCAAATTATGAACTTAGTAGACTCAGAGATTTAGCCTTCCCCTTGGCTGTACTGAGATATCTGTACAAATTTGGAAGACCCAAAGAATTCATATTAATCTTTACTTGCTTTATTCTCATGTCTGTTAGATATAAATCGAAATATAGGATAACATCAAACATATCTTCCTGAATTATTAATGTAAAAATGGTCATGGAAATATTTAAGAGTTAAATATATCAGATAATAAGGTGAGCTTTATAGGATTAAAATTTTTTATATAAAAAATTAATTGCACATTAGAATTGGTTGATGTTATTATTTGTAATTAGTACATCATACCCAAAACTTTTCAATCAAAGAAAACCTTAGCTTTAATTATGGTAATTTTAAAGCTTAGATTATTCTTTTTTAGTTTTTCAGACCACAATTTAATAATATGAAGAAAAATAAACACAGTAAAACTTAACGATGTCGATATCAAACTAATTCAAAAAGCATATGGTCAAATTTTACATTAATCCAATAAGAAGCTCAGAATTAAATAAGTATAAATTTTGGAGAGAGAACTGAACTACGAATAAATGAAATAAACAATGATTATATGTAGTGAAGATACAAATTTTACTGATAAAAACAATAATTTATCAATCTCTTTATTCAGCTTATTTCTGAAATTAAAGTTTGTAATGATATACTGATATCGTTACTATAAGTAATATAATTTGGTAAAAATTAGATACTTGAAATTAGAGATGAACTAGACTTATAAATTCTTTAATATTTCCTTTTTTCAAAGCCAAATCATAAATGGTAATAAATATTATATGCTCCAAANAAGAAAACTACTAGAATATTAATAGATGAAATATTATTACTTTAATACAAAAATACCGAATTTTTTAAATGTCTATAAATTAATCAGATAAGTTTGGATTCTGTAATTTTTCATCAATGGAATAGGAACTGTGTCTTGCCTTTATGCACTATTTTATATATAAGGATTATTGTTATTTTCTTATCCACTTTTTAAGGGTCTTGATTTTTCTTCATATCTTTTTAATGCTCAGTTCAGTTAGCTAACCTGGTGGATATCCCCTGTGTTCTCACTTTACTTGGTGTAATAGTTACTTCTCAAATTATGAACTTAGTAGACTCAGAGATTTAGCCTTCCCCTTGGCTGTACTGAGATATCTGTACAAATTTGGAAGACCCAAAGAATTCATATTAATCTTTACTTGCTTTATTCTCATGTCTGTTAGATATAAATCGAAATATAGGATAACATCAAACATATCTTCCTGAATTATTAATGTATCAGATAATAAGGTGAGCTTTATAGGATTAAAATTTTTTATATAAAAAATTAATTGCACATTAGAATTGGTTGATGTTATTATTTGTAATTAGTACATCATACCCAAAACTTTTCAATCAAAGAAAACCTTAGCTTTAATTATGGTAATTTTAAAGCTTAGATTATTCTTTTTTAGTTTTTCAGACCACAATTTAATAATATGAAGAAAAATAAACACAGTAAAACTTAACGATGTCGATATCAAACTAATTCAAAAAGCATATGGTCAAATTTTACATTAATCCAATAAGAAGCTCAGAATTAAATAAGTATAAATTTTGGAGAGAGAACTGAACTACGAATAAATGAAATAAACAATGATTATATGTAGTGAAGATACAAATTTTACTGATAAAAACAATAATTTATCAATCTCTTTATTCAGCTTATTTCTGAAATTAAAGTTTGTAATGATATACTGATATCGTTACTATAAGTAATATAATTTGGTAAAAATTAGATACTTGAAATTAGAGATGAACTAGACTTATAAATTCTTTAATATTTCCTTTTTTCAAAGCCAAATCATAAATGGTAATAAATATTATATGCTCCAAAATATTATCTAATTGCAGGAAATGATAAAAAGTTTTAGTGTAAAATAATTCTTAAATTTAATGTTTTAAATTCAATCATTATAAGTTAAAAATAATTTTTAATTGTTTGATAATGTAAACTGAAATCCATTTTGAACCAGATATCATAACAATATCAAATAAAGTATCCTTCATATCACCAAAATTGAGGATATTATTCCATTTTTTTTTTGAATTAGAAGATATAATATTTATCAATGAATGCCTGTGTGAAAAGATAAAGAATTACATAAATTTGAGACTTTCTATGGATAGGGTTGTATGCTTTGACTAGGTTAAGATAGATATCTCTTAAAAATTGAAAAGGGATTTTCAAAAAGTCTAAGTTTTTGAAAATACTTGAAAATGTAAGGAAAATTTTAATCTTTATTGCAAAACTCTGTTAGTTTCTTAAAATAAACCATTTATTTTAAACATAAATTAATGCTTACTATTAATTAAATATTTGTGGCTATTTATTAAATTAAAAGAGACAGATCAATAACATAAGCATAACACTAAATATTAATCTAAGTTTATGAATTAATCAAATTAAAAAAATTAATTGTTGATTAATCTTATATTGATCATAGAAGAAGAGTTGTATAATTAAAATTTTTTAAACTGATATGTATTTACTTGTTCTAAATTTTGTTTGTTAATTGGCTATTAGAAAAATAAACTAAAGTAGAAACAATTAAATTAAGAAAGATTTCGTTCTGAAAGAATATATAGTTGAAATATTGAAATTAAAAAAAATAATATAGAGTTGTCATATCTTTTGTCCTCTTGAAAAATGCAAAAAATAGAAGAGGCTAGTTTTTTATTTGATAATTATGAGAAGGAATTTCATCTAGAAATTCATCAACCTTCCTTCTTCTCTCTCTTTCAAAATAACAAATAAATTCATTCGTTCACAACGCATATATTTATTTTGATATTTGAATTAAAAATGATTAATCAATCACCTCCTTAAAGTTTTGATCCTAGGGCAATAAATTAGTATATTTGATCATAAAGGACTAAGCACAAAGCAGAAGAGCTCACTCTTTAGGGATAATTGAATGCTCCTTTAAAAAAACTCTTGAACCCTTCCTTATTAAATATTTAGACTGTACAATCAATACTATTTTTATAATTAAGTTAAGGACTTCCTTTTAATTAATATTGATTAAAAAATACTTAATTACATCATCATTCTTCTTCTGATAGTATCCAATGGAGACGATACAATAGCAGCAGTAGAAGAGATCGAGTAAGCAACAATAAATTTAGAAACAAAATTGCTCATCATTCGATCTTTGAAGATAGTTTCCTTAGCTGTGTCATAAAAACCAAAATAGACACTTCTATATGCTATGATACCTAAAGCTTAAATTCCGAATCCTTTATATAATGCAAGCAAGCCTTCTTACTTATAAACCTTTTTACCACAATCTATCACACTTTTGAATTACCTGCCAATCTTCTTAGAAATAACTATATCCTACCTATTTCTTGCAAAATCAAGTGGATAAATAAGCAACAAAGATGTTCCGCCAGCTGAACCACCTGATAACATATTTCCTAAGAATAAAAGATATTTTTATTCTTTTGAGTCTTATTACTTACAATAAGAACAAAAAAGAGTTTTATAAACATCATTAAAAGCAAAGTTCAATGCTTTATTTGGAGCATACATGGTTAGTATAGTCAAACTACCTCTCCAAAAGGCAGAAATTGGCTTTGATAAATTCAAAATAGAATATACTTCTTGTTTACAAACTCTGATGAAGCAGCCTAAAAGACCACTATCTTAGGGTTCATATAATAATTTTATCGTTTAAAAAGGGATAACGGCTGACTTTGATATAGAAGCTGATACTCCACCAATCAAGAAATCTCTTAAGAAATCATTCATTTATGAATAATAAATAATAAATTTGATTTCCAAATTGGTTTACTTTTTATTAATTTTTTTTGAGAAAATCCTTCTCTTGTATAATCAATACCCAAATACTTTGTACTTAATTGCAGAATTTCTTCAGCAATTTTAAAAATCCATGAAAATTAATATTACCAAAAATATTGTAATACTCAGCGAAATAATTAAAAATTTTTTAATCAAAAGACTGAGTTAATTATGAAGTATCTAATTATTGGAAATAATGTCATTATTTTGTAAATTTAATTTTCTTTTAATAAAAAGTCTGTAGAATTTGATTATCGTTAACTCAATTAAGAAATGATGAGATAATCTATTATGATATTAATAAAAATATTTATAATCAATTTCACTAGCCTTAAATAATATTCCCACAATATTTTTTAAATTACTACAATCAAGAAACTAAAAATTGAGGATTTCTAATAATATTTAAAAACTAAAAATTGTGTGGATTTCTAGAAGTGAAAAGATTTGATTGAAGTTCTTTAATATTGATTTGTACTTGAATCTCAAATCAGTGCTTAAAATGAAATGACATATAAAATATTTAAATATGATAATATCAAGCCCCCTCTTCAAAAAATTTTACAACGATTTCAATTTGAGTTTTATTCTTTTTGTAATTGCTTAAAGCTGCCTACCCTTAGAGACTTTTTTGGGAATCCAATTCAATTGAATTGAAACCCTTAGTAATAAAAAATACTAATTTTCTGGCGAAGAGATCAATTTTCATTACATTAGTGAAGGTAAATTTCAAATCTTCTAATGCTATTTTTGTATTGAAGTCCTAAATCTTATTTATCATTGTACCAGAATGATAAATTTTTCAAAACGAGGAAATATAAATTTAATTCGCTCATATTCACAGATCATTTAGAAATTAAAAAAATTTATTTTCCAATGAATTACAATATTTTTATTTTAGAAATAAATTCATTTTTTAGTCAATGTAATAGAATCGTAAGATGATATGATAGAATTTATAATCAATTAAATCACTAAGTATACAACTATAGTCAATAAATTTTCAAAAGATTTGAAAAATGAATAATAGATCGAAAATATTGGATTCTTAACTTTTTTATTTACTACTTTTAAATAAATCATAATTTATTTATACTTCTCAAGGCTTATTACTTTTGTTTAATAAAAAATAACTTAAATTAAAATTTGCTGAACTTTTTAATGATATTAGGAGAAAAAAATTATTTTATATATTCAACCATTTTATATTTAAACTAAGAAAATACTTAATTTCTTGTTTAATATTTTTAAGAATGCAAAATTTTAGTTTAAGTTTTGTTTACATATATTTAAAATATCTATAACATCCCTTAAAAACATAATATTGATATATAGATTGTAATAATAGATGATTTAATTTATTTAGTATAATTAATTAAAAAGTAATTTGTAAAATAGTAGAGTAATAATAATTATAGATCACTAATACGTTTTTAAAATTTCTATTGGAGAGCTTAATTTTGTACAGAAATTCATGCTGAAAATTTATAAACACTCTATTTACAAAATGAACTTTATTTGTATCCTTAGAAGAAGAATCATTATATATCAAAAATTATAGAAATTAAAAGCAGGTATTATTTCTCAAAGTGATTACTTTACTACCTCATTATTTTTGAATTAGAGGAAATATTCTTAACTTGCATGATTTTCCCTATTATTCTGTATAGTATAATTAACATTCATTGAATAAACTTCACTTGCCCTTTAATGTAAAATATTGTAGTCATTGGCTATAACAAAAGAATCTATAAAAAAATTGACTAATGTAGAATTAGATGAAATTGATTGAAAAGTCTTTATTAAATTATTTTCATTATTATATTTTGGATAGAATATAAAGAACAAAACAAGGTTTAAATTTGGTGATCAATAATTAAGAAAATCAGAATTTAATATACATTTAATATATATTCACAATTAATTCAGCATATTAATTAAAAATTTTTGACAACATATTCCATAATTAGTTAAAATTTAAGATTAAATACTTTGCAGTATCTCTCATATTCATAATTTATAATAATGTCTAAAACAAAAAGTTATGAAAATGGAATTAAATCAATGATCACTGAAATTAAGAACTAAATTCATCAATCTTTAAGATAAAATAGACTCTAAATTGTAGAAGTTAAAAAGTTTGATTTTGAAATTAAGTCAAATCTACTTTCTATTAGATCTAATAATCGAAAAATTAATGAAAATTAATCAACATTAAATAATTATTCAAGAGAGAAACAAACAAAAAGGAGATACACTCTTTAGCCCTTAAGAAATAATTTTTCAAGATCCCCAAAAATAATATAAGAATCGCTAAGAAAAGACCAAATATCAAACAAAGAGAGATTAATGAAAAAGAAAAAAATAGAAATAAAAGCTTGGACCATCTCAACTACAAACCCAACAGATTGATGATGAAATATTTTATTTTGTTTATTATACAATTTCTATTCTATATAATTAGTTTATAATTGATTTTTAATAATATTAAAATACTTAATGAAATAACTAATAAATATTTTGATTATTCAAAATCATAAAATATTAATTTTATTTATGATAATTATTACTAGTTTAGATGCCATAATTTGAAAAATCTAATCAAACCCAATAAAACTTCTTAGTATTTTCTTATAATACAGATACTTTTATTCAATGGATAATTCAAACATGACTATTATTTAATGATCATAAATAGTCAGATATTATAATTGGAAAGATTCAATCTTAATGGATACTTTTTATTAAATTCAATTGAATTTCATATTCATCATAACTATTTCTTTAATTTGATAGATGTAATTGATTTATTCCAATTTTAGCTTTTAAATTCCAATTCCTATTTTCTTTGAAGTAAAAAATTAAAATAAATTCATGAATGATTAGTTTCCCTATAATTTTTTAGTTTAGTTTGAGTCATTGATAAGTATATATAGATATAATATATTACAATATTACATCATGAATAATCTTATAAAGATTTCTTGTGACCAAATAAATTCTATTACCACTTTTTTTTAAGCCTAATTGAAATTTTTGAGATTATTTCTAATTAATTAAAAATTTGAAATGATAATTTATAAAATATTATTAATATCATAGAATATATTTCAATATTCAATATAAATTTTGAATAAAAATTGTTTGATTGAAATAATATTTAAAATATATAAAAAATAATCAAATTATTGCTCTTTGTTCATTATTTTTTCATATATTTTCTTACTTAAATTTAACCAGTATGATAATCCCAAGTAATTAGATATTCACCATTATCACTCATTGTTCCAAATATACTTTATGTTCTAAATTGAATACTTTGCAATAATTTAAATTGCATATCTTATTCTTACTCTAATTTAGTATTACTCATATGAATAATATTAATAGTTTGATCATTTTTGGATAAGATAATTTACTTCTAGGAATATAAATACAAGAAAAATATTCATAACAGGATTCATTACCTCCTTTGACTTGAATATTTTAGGATTTAATATAGTCTCCTGATAACTTATTGGAAGTGTAGATTTGAAGGTAATTTGATTTATATGGTTAAAATCCGAAGATTCTATCTAAAATGTACGCTAATCTAGCACCATTATTTTCTACATTAATTGTTTTAATAATAATCCATTTTTATGTATTTGAACCCTTCATAACCAAGATTACATTATTATTTCCACATGAAATTAATTCATTTCCATTTTAATTCAATGATAATCCAAGATAAACTGAATTTTCATGGCTTATTGTTTAATATTAAACCCATTGTTAGTGCTATGTAATTTCAGAATAAGAAGACCAAAATTCAATAGAATTTGAACCACAAATTATTAGATCTTCACTAGGGTGAATGACTAGA